TACACCATCAAACCACCAACACTATACAACATCTCCTACAAAGCTAAGCAGGAAGGAACAGCCTTCCAAAACCTGTGGAAACAAGACTACACTTTCTCAAGGAAGAGTGAGATTCTTGTTAATTTTTCAAGGGTTGTTTTAAATTTTGTATGGAGGTTGAAAAAAGATCATTTTAATATGCGGCTCTCAGTAACAACATATTCTTAGAAACATAACTGTTTAGGACAAAATTGTAAAAACCACAATATTTTTCTGGTATGCTTACTTTGAAGTATGTTTCTCACTTTATATACAACAATTAAACATAACTGTGGTCACAGTAAATGTCATGATGCCCAGTGAAAACTAGGCAGCTGTCTGTTAATTGACAAGTTGCTGACATTTCTTTTCACTGTTTTATTAAAAAATATGTTTTAATAGCTTGAATGTTAATGTTTTACTGTCTCCATAGTTCCCGACACTCTCCTGGTTCCTACACAGCTATTACATGTCAGGCAGTGGCTATCTCACTATAAACTGTCAGGTGCTGCCAGCAAGATATTTTATGCACTTAACAGAATACAAATGGTTTTCCTCATCCCATTTTTACAACCACCCCCCTTCCACCCCCCACTTACCACTCTCTGTAACAACATTCACAGCCATTGTTGTTATATCTTGAATGCAGGCAGCTTGAAATCCTTCAGTAGGAGGAGTGTTGTAGGTGCTCAGTCCAGTTGCTTTATTGATGTATACTGTCTTACCTGATGAAACATCAAAATCTTGCAGCCAGTCAGAACAACGCAAATCATTCCTGGGATTGCCTGTGCTTGCGTTGTCTGCAGAGAATTCCAAGTTACTTAGGAAGGTCATATGGGGAACCTCAGTATTTTTCAGATTTTGTTCTGAGGATTCATCTAATGTACTTTTATCTTTACAGATGTCAGCACAATCCTTTTGAGCAGGTAATGAAAAAACACTGCTTGAAGAGACTGTGTACTCCCCTTCTATGCTGCTGAGTGGTGATGGGCTGACAGTACTTTTTATGGACTCTGCTCTCATATTGTTTGCTTGCCAGCATGCATCCCCTTTAGAAATGCTGTAATTACATTCCCTCATTTCTTCCACCAAGGATTTACATGTTTGATAAGCATTATACGAAAAATCATTATTTGAAGATTCAAAGTCAAAAGAGTAGTCATCTTTTCTACTTGAATCTGTTTGTAAATGTTCACCAAGTTGTTCCACTTCTTTGTGGTCACTTCTCATTCTGAACAGTTTGCATGATAAAGATCCTGGAGATCTTCTACAAGTTGTATTTTTTTTACTAACCTCAGAGTAATCAGACAATGTCAAAGGACTCTGACAAAGGGCTCGTTTGTCCTGTGAAGTTTCTCCACTGCAAAATAAAGTCTCTTTCAAAGAAACAAAAACGTGGCTACTATTATTAGAATCTGTATCTTCCACAGTTGGAGTTTCACAAGTGCTCAAGTTACCGTGAGTGTCATTCTCATTCTTTGAAAAGTCACAATTAGCTTGTGAATTAAGAACACTTTGCTCTGACAGTGGTGTTGGTAGTATGCATTTGACTCTCCCATAAAATCTCCTGAATTTTTCTAACGAACCCAGCTGTGTGGACAAGCTCAGCTTCTTAGAGGGCTGAGATCTTGGCACAGCTATTTGTCTTCTAGTGCTTTTTGTAACTTTACTGTGAGGAATATCTGAAGTTGCCACTGGCAATTCTGTAACATTTGATGTCTCATAATGTCTTTTACCAGTGGCAATAGACATAGCTATCCCCTTACTCACCTGATTTGACAAAGTTTTGTTCTCTGACCGCTTATTACCATCAATCATGCATACTTCCCTGGCATAAGGAGGTGTATATTCTTTATTTGTATTACTGGACATATCCTTAGCATTTAAAGACTGAATCGGAAAATTCACTTTGTGGCCAAAAATATCCTTGGCACTGGCAGGACCGGGCCTACACTGCGCATTTAATGTAAGATTTGTTTCTGTTTGTTCACATTCATGTGAGGGCTCACTTTGCACAACATGTGTTGTGAGGCCTGCAGAACACAATTTTAATGGTATTGAACTAACACTCCCTCTTCCAGCATCATCTATCACTCCAGCTGTTTCCCTGTCTCCTCTTCTTGTATTACACAGTCTCATCAGTGAACTCCCAGAGACAGTTTCAGGTCCCATTGCTGTTTCAGTAGGGTCTTCTCTCTCAGACCGTGACTGAATAACATCATTATTTAAGATATGGACCATATTGCTTTTCTGCACTATTTTGCCTTGCTGGCTTCCCACACCTTTTATGTAATTCTCTGCACAATGCTGCAGGTCACCACAGCTGTTTATTTTTTGTATTTCTGATCTGGCCCCTCCACTGAAAGAGGAACAAAGATCTTCTGAAGGTTTCAGATGAGTATCAGACGCTTTTTGGGAACTGTTAGTGTCTTTTGGCTCCTGCTCTGAGATATTTGATATAACAAAATCAGAAGCTGTGTCATCTTTGCTGGGCAGTGGAATCTCTGCTTTATTGTTTCTACATGGATCAGATAGTTCAGCAGTCTTCTGATTTGGGGCAATTTCAGTTTCCTGTAGATTTTTATTTGATTCTATAAGACTTGAAGAATTTTTTCCAGAAACAGATTTCCTTTTGACGTCTTTTGATTGCAAGTTACACATTTCATAGGAATCCACAATTTCATCATATGCTTTCTTAAAACTGTCTTGGATGTTCTTCTTGTCAGAGAGTGAGGGCTTTAGAACCGGAGCGTTATACAAACAAAAGTCGTTATCTTCATTAAATTCTCTGATGTCTTCACTACACGGTTCAATAAATAAATGTTCCCGTTTCAAAAATATTTTCACTCCTTCCTCTATGCAAGTTAGAAGAACATCCCAGTTCTGGAATTCAATCAGAGTCTTTGAAGGTTCCAGACACACATCATAGTCACTGTACGCACAGGTCACGTTGAGAATAAAGATCCCGTACAACTCTGGGCCACAGCGATGGTGACCAGGACTTGAACTAGGCTGTCTGCTCGCAGGGCCACTTTTTGCCTTGCAAATGACACTTTCTTTTCTTAATAAAAAATCAATTAGTTTATGCAGTCTTGTCTTTAAAACAAGCCTTCTATTCACATATAAGAACTGCATATTCTTATTGTAATGTCCTTCAGTACTGATATAACCACTTATCTCAAATCCCCCAGACTTATGATTTATTTCTCGTAACTTCTGGGATCTGCCCAGTCCATAAATTTGACAAAACCGAGAGTATACATCTCTTGTCTTAGGAAGCTGAAGCACCATAGAACAAGAAACATCATTCCTTAAAGAAAATGAAACAGAGGGATGCATCAGTGAAACTGCCTCTACTTTCTGTCTCACTCTCTCAAATTCCAACACAGGATCCATACACCTTCTCCTCACTGGTAACTGATGGAACAGATTACACACGGTGACTGTAGTTCCACCACTTGGCCTGCTCAATTCACCTTCACAGACTTCCAGTGGTTGCCCATTGTGAAACAGTTTCACAAATGTTTTTGCTGTCCTGCTGGTCTTAGATGAAATTTCCACCACGCTGGCCAGGTTGGCTATGCTTGCCACAGCCTCCCCTCTAAAGCCGTAAAACATCAGGTTCTCCAAGTCTCCCACCGAGCTGCACTTGCTGGTGAAGTACCGCTTTCCCATTGCATTTAAGTCCTCTCTCCCCATCCCAGAGCCGTTGTCCACAACCTGGATCTTAAAAGCTTCCAAATCCACCCTTATAGCTACACATGTTGCTTTGGCATCGATGCTGTTGAGGACAAGCTCCTCAACACACTGCCCCAGTGAGCTGATAGTCACTCCAGAACGCAGCCTGGCTCGCACATCTTCCACCAAACATTTGATCATGTCAAAATCAGATAGATGAGAAACTCAAGAAACTGCAGGGAGCTCACTCCTCCATGTTCCTTAAAGCAATTCTCTGAGTGGAGAAAAAAAAAATAAAATTAAAAGCCTGAAAACACTTTTATTTATTGCATTTACCCTCATAAACATACTTTTGTCAGTTTTCCTGCTATTCAGAGACTTCTGTGATTACTTTCCTGCTCAGGCTTTGAGTACACATCGTTGGTGCCTTCAGGCTAAATGGCCAGAATCTACGCTCCTTACTAACAAATACGGTTCTCAAACTTAACAAAACCAAACCAAACTCCAGCCACGAGGAGGCAAAACTCAAAAAGGCTTCCACTTCCATTTGTATCAAAAATACTGAGTTAAGTATTACCAAGTCCCGCGCAGTGAGCTGCTTTCCTCTCGTCTTCACCTCAACGTCCTCACATAAATTCACACTGCCTCATTCAGGCCAAAGAGCATCTGCTGTAATTTGCCTGAGAAAGGGATAAAGCAGGCTTGGGAATGGGTGTGGGATACCGAGTAAGCTGTTTATGGGAGAGAGAGCCCTGTTTTCTCGTCCTTGATGCCTACTGGTTTCTTAGCGTTATTCGAAGGGGCCGGCAATTCTCCCTCGCACCCCTCACGCAGAGCTCCCCGTGCAGCTCCGCAAGCGCCGCTCGCCCTCTCCGGGGACCCGGCGCGCCGTCCGTGGGGGGTACCGAGAGGCAGAGAGGGGCAGCGGAGAACCGCAGCCGCGCTCGCCTCTCCACCGCCGCCCGTCCCTCCCCCCGGCCCCGCTCTCACCCCCTCAGCGCCCGGGGGCGGGGTGAGGCGGCCCCACAACGGCCTCGGCGCGAGGCCAACCGCCGCCAGCTCCTGGCGGAGTGGATCAGCGAAGGACGCCGCCGCGGTCAGGGAGCGGCAAGGCGCATGCGCAGCTGCGGCTTCCCAGCGGGCCCGGCGCCGGCGGGCAGTGCATGCCGGGATATGTAGTCCCCGCTCCCATTCCCCCACCCGGGGCGCAGCTGGGGCCCCTCCGCCACGGCCCCGCAGCGACAGGCACGGGCATCCGGGTCACGCGCAAAGGGCCGCCATCCACGCAACCCCCACACAAGAAGCGAGCTTCAGAGCAATTTTATTCTAAAGAATAAAGTTCTGGGAGAAAAAAATAGATTGCTTCCGAGACAGCTAGGGCACAGCAATAGTGATTTTAGCCATTTTTTGTATCAGCATCGATTCCGCTATTCCCTTTACATGAGCGCAACACTATACAAATATAACACTATATAACACTATACAAATATAACACCAATTTTACCCGCGTACAACTACTCAAACCACACTCTACACAAACATTCAAGAAATAAAGAGGCTGTGTCCCCAAACAGCCGCTTTATAAAACCAGCACAGCTCTACCCGTCAAAATTTTGTGAGAGGCTGAGAGTTAGACTAACAGTACAATAAACAAATAAATTAGGGATGTAACAAAATAAACTTTCTCTAGAGCCGAACATTGGCTGAACGGGGGAAGAGGGACAATGTTCTAAGGGCAGCTCATGCTCCACATTTTGCTCCTTCCTGGGCAGAGTTATTTCAAAATCTCAAAGTCCTTATGCTCCAGCGCCGTGATCTTCTTCTCGTTGCTGAACTCTGCCCGGCTGATGCGGGACTGGGGGCTCCCTATCTTCCTGAGCCATTCCTGCAGCTCCCGCACCCTGGCAGCGGGACCCTGGACCTGGCCCTGCACCGTGCCATGGCTAGTATTCTGGACCCAGCCGACGAGTCCCAGCTTCTTCGCCTCTCTCTGGAAAGACAACGCAGACCAAAATGAGATGATTAATCGGAACTGCGGGACGGCTGAAGGATGTTGTTCGCACACAGCAGTCAATTTTAGAGGTGGGACACGGACCTCCAAGGCCGTTCCTGCGGCCCAGGCAGCAGGGAGGCGGCGGGGGATTCACCCGAATACTCATTCCGCCCTCTGGCATTAAAAACCGGGGCCGAAACGCGCTTTTCAGCCGCGCTCACCCAACGCCGCACACGCCACCGGCGGCACCGAGATGGCGGCCGGACCGCCGGCCGCGATCCAGCCCGGCCACCCCTCGAGGCGGGGCCACGCCGCGCCACGCCACGCCACGCACCTGGGTGTACTTGCGGAAGAAAACGCCCTGCACCTTGCCGGACACCTCGTAATCCACGGAGACTAGACCCTCGCCCTCCGCCATGGCGGCTCCTCCAGCCGCCGCCACTGCGCCTGCGCCGCGCGGCTAGAGCCGGGGGGCGTGGCTTCGCCCTCCCCTGCGGCCAATTAAGAGCCAGGACCCGCGAAGTGGGCGGGGAGGGGGCTGCCTCATGAATAATGCATACGGGCTCTCCCCGCCGCTCGACCGCCGCTCCCCTGACATAGAGGGCGGGGTCCTCCGAAGCGCGGAGAGTCGCGGGGGAACCACCGAGAGTCCGGCTCAGCGGCGAGAGCGGCGCAGGAACTGGCATTCGCGTGCTTGTCGCCAGGCAACGGCCGTCAACGCGGCGGCGGGCAGGAGCTGCGGGCCGAGCCCCGCGCTGCCCCGGGCCGCGGGCGGGCCTGCCGGGTCCCCGGGGCGGTGGGAGACCGATAAGAGTAAGCGAGTGGCGACGCAGCGTGCCGAGGAGGCCGGGCGTAGCGCCGGCCGCAGCCCCTCAGGTAACCCCCGCTCGTGGGGCCGGCCTGCGGCGTGGGTACCAGACACGCTTCGGGGGATGTGGTAGGACGAGCCACGGGAAGATTGGCCTGAGCTTTACTGGACGCCTGCGTGTCAGACCTGTGTGCCACGCCGGCACAATCTGCGATGCCAAAGCTGAAGGGACATGTGGTGGGAAACACGTGGGGGAGAGTACAGCAATTTCTCTATCAGCACAGCATATTTCTGCTGCTACCATGATAAGACAGGGCTCAGATAGCAAGCGAAATAAAAACATATCTTATTTCTGGCTGCATAAATGATTGGGACTGGAAGAGGCAGCATGGGAGCTCCCTAGGTGGAAGGAATGTAGAGATTTACAGAACCCAGAAAAGTTACAGAACCTTTGCTAATATTTCTTATAGCCTCTCATTGTAGCCTCCAGGTATAGACTGTTAGGAGAAGATTTGTCCAGTTCTGGATAAGATAGTCTGTAATGACTTGCTTCTAACCTCAGGCTCTTTCTCAGGCACTGAATGGCTTTGTTTCCACCGGTGGATTCTGTGGTGGCAGCTACTACGCTTGTTCCCAGCTGCCAGCTGGAACACCAGAAGAACAACTTTCAACATGAACTCATACCTGACAAAGAGGAGAGTTTAAAAGATCTCTATGCCCGAAAGAGCCGAAGCTATTCGTATTCTCTTTCTGCAGAGAAGAGTCCATACAGCTCCAGGCAAGGAGGCTTCTGTTCAGCTGGGCTGCAGAGCAAGTATCTCACTGGCCAGACCAAGACTCTGCCAGCTAAATCTGTAGCCAGACGGAAAGAAGGAGTGGACCGTGCATATCCCCTGAAACCAATTTTTCATCATAAGGGTGTGAGTGTTCCAGTGGTCAACACAGCACAGATTGGAAGCTCCCCATACATGGAGGACAGTCCAAATAGTAGGCCTAGCTCAGTGAGCAAAGGGAAGCCTCCAGCAGGGAGGTCTCAGCTAGCTGCAGTGCTCTCTTCTTGGACAACAGAGCCTAAACAGTCACACAGGAGAGAGCTGGCCTATATCCTAAAGTTGGAAGAAGATGGACGGAACCTGGAAGAGGAAATTCGTAAGAAAGAGGCCCTCCTCAGAGAGAAGCTGAGGAGAACAAAGGAGGAGCTTCGGAGGATTCAAAGAGAGAAGGAGCTTGTCGAGGCAGAGGAGAGAAGAGACAGAGAAGAGGAGAGGACCCATGAGCAAAAGGCCACCAGGCACCCTGAAGAGAAAACCCTCAGAGTTGCAGTCAGGCCAGGTGATGGGGTCTTCGATGGGGCACAGTCTGCAGAGGCCACTGTCCCCACACCTGGCACCACCCTTTCCCCCCAAGAGCTGGCTATGGGGAAACTCAAGAAGGAGCGGCTGGTGGCCAGCAACAGCAAAATTCGAGACCGCGTACCCATGGAGCATTTAGCCTCTTGTTCAAAGCTGGCCACAAACCGTAGCCCTTCTCCCTCTGCCCTCTTGAATAAAATTGCTGGTGACCATCCATCCGCAGAGGTGCTGTACGTGCAGGCTGATGGTGCTGTGCAGCAGGGGGGGCTCGGACAGTGCAGCTTCTGCGGACGTAAGTTTCTCTGCACCAGGCTTGAGAAGCACACGAGTATCTGCGGCAAGAGCCAAGGCTCCAAGAGGAAAGTGTTTGACTCCAGCAAGGCCAGAGCTAGGGGCACAGAACTGGAACGATATCAGCAGTGGAAGAGCTCAGAGGGGCCTCAGGTAATGTGCAGTCCCTTTGCCTCCCTCGATCCACATCTACTGCTCACATTCCTTCCACCTCGACATCTAATTCTGACTGAGATGCGAGCGCCTGCGTGTCTGCATGGGTCTGAGGGATACAGCCCAGCTATTGCCTCTGAAAGGCTCTTGCCAAATGGATAAATAGATCCATTTAAAATCTAATAGATGGGAGGGCAGCAGTCCTAACTGACGTGTCTTTGTAATGTGTCAAGGGTCTACTCCTGGAGAAAGTTCACTCCTTGCTGTAGTCAGGATGCTCAGGATGCAGACAGGGTCTGCTGCAGTAAAGCTCTGTGGCATTAGGGGCTGCAGGGCACTGACTGAAACCCCGGGTAATAACACAGGCTATTAAAACGAAGGCAGTGGAAACATGCAGCTCTGTTCTTGGAAGGCAGCGATAGCAGCCCTTTCCAGTTCCTTGGCCCTACTGCTTGATTTTCTTGTTATTCTCAAGCTCTTTCTAACTACTGATGTCTCCATCAGTATTTCCTTCAGATTGCCCTTGCTGCTTGTCATTTTGATCCCCTTTGTGGGACTCAGCTTCTCAGGGAGGGTTTTACATCAACAGTGAATGCCCAGGGACAGGTGACCTGACTTGGACCCTGAGCGTGAGATTGAGAATAGAGGCTGACAGTGGGGTCAGTTGCTCTGACTGCCTTTTCCTTCTGCAGAATAAGCCACCCAGAGGGAACAACTGGAGACAGAAGCACGAGGTTTTCATCCAGACCCTGCGCCAGGCCCGCCAGGTGCAGCAAATCCTCTCCATGGGAGGGAAGGTGTCTGACCTGCCCCCGTTGCCTCCCATTGAAAACCCAGAGTACGTTGCCTGTCCCTACTGCAGACGCCGATTTGCTCCCCAGGCAGCTGAGAGACATATTCCCAAATGCAAAACCATCAAGAATAGGCCCCCGCCCCCACCGCGGAGGAGGCGCTGCTGAGGCGGTGTCCCAGTGTACCTGCTACTGTGATTCCCTGCCTGTTTTCTGTCAGGTTTCCAGCCACAGACATTTGTGCTTTCTCTAGACTCAACACTGGCTCCGAGTGTTGAGCTCGTACGTGCAGGAAGCGAGCAGCTGGGGATGAATAAGCAGAATACCAGAACTTGTGTACTTTGACCTGTGCCCTGGGTTGTCCCACATGGGATGCCCCTCTGAGGGCCGCTTCTCCCATCCAGTGAGCACAATGTGGAGTCTCGGTGTAGGTGTAAGGCTGTCACTGTTCAGTCAGCTGAGCAGGGGAGAAAGGCTGTTGCTACAGGCTGTCAGCAGGACAGCAGCGAGGAGCAAACCAACCATCAGAAAGGAGCTGTTCTTCAGAATCATATTATGCCTGTAGGTTAGGGATGCTTGGGCTTTTTTTTTTTTTTTTTTTTTTTGTAACAGCTAGTGGCACCTGATGTGAAGAAAGCTGCTCTCCTTTAGTTCATCAGTGGCTGCACTCTGGTTTTTCCCTTCTCCAAAAGCAGAGTAGTGCTGTTCATGAGAAGAGCTGGGCCAAACAGAGCATCTGCCTTTTGTTTGTTCTACTGCTCTGTGGGAGCAGATGTTCGCCCCTGAATGTGCTAAGAGGGACAGTGGTTCTCCATGGTGTAGCACTTTTATTGTAGCTACCTACAAGAGATTGGGGTACAAGGGGTGCCCCTCTTTTTCCACAGAAATGACTCTACAGTCGTCTAAACTATTTATCATTTAGACAAGGCATTTGGAAAAGTCAGAGAGAGGGAGGGGAGGAAGCTATGTAAGCAGTTAACTTTTTTGCAGCACAGACTGTTGTGTTCTTCTGTCCTTGGTATCTGCGCTAGATAACAGGATCCAGAGCTGCTGCTTGGTCACTGCTTGTGCTCTGTCCTCGTTGTTGTAGCACTGTTTGGTTGAATAATGAAAGCTGTGTAGGTAAGTTTATTCCATGCTTGTTCTGCAGCAGACCAAGAGTTTATTTAGATGCTTTTATAGAATGCTGGTGACAATCCTGGGGCTACATCTTCCCAGCTGAAGATCTGTAACATTACCATTTAGAAATACAGTGTGATGTTGTTTGAATTAGAAAAGGAGGCCTTGGGAGGAGTGTTACTAAATGCTCCCTCAACACAAGAAGCTGAGGATCAGAAATTCAGGAGGTTAGAAAAGCTAGCAGTAGCAGGCACTTACTGTTTAAGTCCATATGTCAATTCATGTGCACGGAACAGGAGAGATACTCCAAACCAGCCAGGCCCTTTAGGCAACAGAACAACCATCCCAATGTATTACTTACCACATACAATAGCTGGGACTCGGAGTTGGGAAAGGGCGGAAGAAGAAATATTTAATTAAAGAATAATGCCACGCACGATCAAAAATAGGTCATGAATAAGCTCAGACTGGAAATTAAGTTTCTAACCAGGAGAGGAGTGAGGTCATGGAAAAACCTTCCAAACAGATTAGCACAGGCAGGGAAGCCACATTGTTTCAGGATGGACTTGGAGAAGATCATGGAAGGAGCATATGGCAGGAATTAGCAATTAAGAATCGTGATACAGAGCATTTGTTCCTATCTCCAGGCTTCTTGTATAAAGTGCGAAGAACAGATCAGAGTTCTGTGCCTCAGTGTATCACTTTCAGGAGCTGAGAAGGAATTTCCTTCCCACAGCAACTTTCCTTTAATTCCTAACTTGGCTTCTGATTTTTTTATTTTTTAATTTCCACCCAAAATGTTTAAGAACTGCTACAGTTTTAAAAAGCCAAACACACCCCACCTCCAGACAGTACACTAAGGAACTTCACATCAGAAAACCTGTTAGCTGTTTCAATCATGTGTTCAGGGTTAAATCAACAATTAGATTTAATACAAAAAACCTGAGTTTTCCTACAGGTCAAGTTGCTAGGGTCCTCTAAAACACAAGGTTTGCATCCGTCCTTGACTCATCTGCTTAGTTTCATCTTAGTTGATGCAAGTGTAGGGAATTATGACAAAAACATACCCCTTCTTTTGCTTTCTTCTTGAGATGTAAGGTAGTTCTTGGTGATTTTGGCTTCATGCTAGGGGTCTTCGCTTGTCACTCATTGCTAAAGGATCTTTTGGGGGAAACAGGTGTCCTACAGCCCCTTTTAGAGAATCATCTGCTTATAATTGGTGACAGTTCCTGCACATTTCTAAGTCAGTTATTTTTTCAGATTCTGATTTTTAATAAATTAGACTAGTTCTGTTGTGTAAAAGTTGGTTTAAATGGTCACAGAGTGGTTTGTGTTCTCTAAGAATGCCTACTTTGTAAGAGAAAGTTGCAACAGGAAGCAAAAAGGAGCAAAAAATTTCCAGCAGATCCTTTTGCAAGTCCTTCACTAATGTAGCAGCAGCTCATGGGAACCTAGAAAAAGATAAAAAGTGACTAAACTGGAGTAGTCAGAAGCTGAATATGAAGAAACACTCCAGCCTGCAATGGATGGACCAGACTCCTGAAAGAAGTTGGAGACCTTCTGCCCTATAGATACATGGGCAGAAATCCCAATCCCTTGGCACACCCTAGAAAAGCATGAAGGTCCCAGAAAGGGTCAGTGCTGCACTGTACCAGCCAGGTATAAGTGTACAAACCTTGAGGAGAGAAAAAAACAGACTTGAAACAAAGGAAAATAGTTTGCCATATTCAAATTGATTGGAGAGACAAGACCAATGCTCTAACTTCAGAGCTTTGAAATACGGGATAGCAAGAGGTAGGAAAGGGGTAAACTGGAAGCTTTATGCCAGCTTCCTAGAATTAATGAAAGGTATAACTGAATTAAACAGAGTAGTGAAGAAATTCAGTACCACTGCCTGTCCTGTAATATTAACTCCATTTCCCTTGCACCATGTTTTATTCAGCGGACCCTTAAAGTCAGCAGAGTGCAAGTGGTGACTGGGGTAGACACACACAGAAAAGCTTTCTGATACTGTAAAATAAATCCATCTGTTGCGGACTTCTCCTAAGTGACAGGCAAACGGCCAGCACTGAGATTGGAAGTGTAGATTACAGGAAAGGTACTGAAATTAAATTACTAGGCTTCATTTATTATCTTTGTTTCAGATCTAACCGTGGGTAGTTCATTCCTCCTTGCTGAGCTATTGTTGCAAGTCAAGACAGACAGCAGCATCTAGAAAGCATCTGATAACTGGTTTAAACCTTAGTAACAGTTTAGCCAAAGCATCAGGCTCAGCACTGGGATTTACCCTGCTGCTTTGCTATGATGTTACCCTAGCACTACTCAAGCTTTGTTACTCGTGCCAGCTCAGCTTCCCCTTCTGCTACTGCAGTACAATCCCTCCCTCGGAGACATGCTGCATTTTCAGTATCCAAATCTCTGGTGAATTTTAAGTCTTTAACCCAGCTCTGCCTCTCAAGACGTTTCACCATTTACTAAAAACCCTGATAAAAAGTCAGAAGTGACAGGCATTAGGTACAATGTGCAGGAACAGTTGGCCGAGCGAGTGTTGGGCAGGTTTTCCCTTCTGTAGGCCTTAATGCTCAGTAGCTGTTCTGAGAGAAACAGGTACTACTTCCCTTTGAGCCTCTCTCTTCCCATTACTCATTTCCCACTTGGCACTGAAACTGTTGAAATAAACACACACACAAAAGCTCCCTGACGTCACTAGGAGCAGATGCAGCAGCAAGAGAAAAGAATTTTGTTGTTTGTTTATTTGTATTTTTCCCATACCAAAGAACCTGCAAGCCCCTTGTCTCTTTCTATAAGCAGAAAAAAAAAAAAAAAAAAAAAAAAAATCAAACAACAGAATGCCATGAAGCAAGATGACTATATGCATATTTCCCTTTCCTCTGTTGGAAAAAAAAAAAAAAAAAAAAAAAAAAAAGACAACTCCAAACACAGGAGAATGAGTTTAAACATTTATTTAAACAGAAACTCCAAACCACTACACCCTTTAACCTTTCAAAAAAAGACAACGACAAACTAGTTTTCAGCCAGAGTGTCGGAGCAGGCATAAGTTGTGTTCCACTATAACAACTCAGTAGCAATACTAGCAGGAGACCAACACATATGGAGCTAGCACTGCAAGAAGGGGAGAAGTAAAAAAGGTTTGAAACTGCTCAAAAGGCACTTCTGCCCACTTGCCCTTCCATTTTCAGCCCAAGACGAAGGTGCTGGCTTTAAACTGCTTTTTTGGTTGCATAGCTGGCTGGTGTGAAATCTGTGGTCTGTAACAGGCACAACCTGGATAGCGTGAATCCTCTAAGGCACATATGAGATTGCGGAGCACAGGGCGTCCTCTGTCAGGGACCCTAATCCTCCACTAGATCCGAGGGGAATCCAGTCTGTGCACCTAGCTTCCCAACTGCAGAGCATTGAGAAATGAGGATAGCAGTGCACTGCAGGAGAGCGACTCCCATCAGCTCGGTGCTTGCTTATTGGACATGGCTCAGGCTCAACTCTTCACTCCTCAAAGGCACTGCTGCAACGTGACCAACTCAATCGTTTCCAACCGCAACAACCCTCAAGCCGGGACCCTAACTTGAGAACTGGCACCAATGCACATGGGGGAAAGGAGAGCCGAGTCACAAGGGCAACCAAGTGATGTGGCCAGGCCAGGGTGCTTGACACTCACCACCTCCCAGGAGGGCTGTCCTCCCAGCCTTCCTGCAGCAACGATGGACAGGCACACTAGTACGATCCTTGCCCTGGACACTGCGCTGGAGAGACGGCACTTGATTCAGCCCCGGGATACTAGCAATAGGCATCAAAGAAGTATTTAAGGAGCATAAGTTACAAGCAGAATGGTTTGGTATCCACCTCTAGAGACAAATGGGGAATGCTGGCTCCCCCAAAAGAATCTCTCAAAAGAAGTCTAGGAGAGGCAATAGGTTATCCAACTCCACTAGACCTAAGGCAATTATAGTGACAGGCCACTGATGGGGATGGTTTAAGCCTAATGAAATCACAACCCCACACTCACAGCAAAGGTGAGAGGGACTCAGGACTCCTTAGAGGCTTCATGTAAGGCAGGGGAGGCTAGCTGCTCCCAGGGATCCTACCAATCCCAAAAGCTTAGTTCAAAGGCAGCTTGCTAATAAGGGGAATAAAATTAACCTCACTCTTTAACAGGAAATGAGAAAACCTTTAGCATCAGACCATGCCTCTTCCCATCTCCAATTTTCTTGGGAAAGCCTCTTGCTTCTAGAAAGAAGGTGAATTCCGGACAGAGACTTGATCATTCATGGTCATTGGGGAAGGCTGCATCCTGTGACCACGGCATTAATGACCTATTCTGGGTAGGAAACTGCATTCCAGCTTCATCAAAACACTGAGTGGAAAAACATGGATTCTTCCCACACCCACACAGAGCGTGGGCACCAGGGGCTGAGCAGAACAGAAGCCAAGCAGGGAGCAGCTACGGGCTTATGCCAAGAAACCAGAAGCTCTGGCACCTAAACCAAGTCGAACAGCTGGAGCAAGAAATGGGTGACTTAGTCTGAGGCCCAGACGCTCGTCATCTGCCTGGGAAGCAGGTGGTCTGAAACTGAGAGCGAGAGATCCCACCTCAGACAGTCCCCACTACTGCTATTGGAAACTACACTCGATTCACTCATCTCGGTGCATTGCCTGGAAGTTGGAAAGCTCTAGGCACCCAGAATAAAGCCTTTAAACTCTGTCTATACAGGCCACTGGACACAGCCACAGAGCCAGAAGCTGTGCCTCCAGGCCAGGGACACGCTGTCTACCATTATCTCCCTAACAGGAAGATCTCCACTGCCTCCAGAATGAGACGCCCCCTGCTCCCTCTGCCCCTGAGCAGAGGGGAGCAGCCTCACCGGCTGGGCCTTACCATGTGGGTAGGGAGAGGATCCTAGTCCTTCACCCCTCTGAAGTGAAGGTGGCAAGTCTTAGGGTTCAGCCAGCTTCAGTACAAAACACGTCTCCTCCTCTCGTCTAGAGATGCAGTGATGAATACTGGGGTCCCAAAGGCAGCTCCCAGGAAGCAGTGAAACAATGAAAGGGCCACAAGCCGCTACCGGAGCCATCGCCATAATGGGGCCGTTCTGCCTCACGTGCAGAATTGACAGATAAGGTACAAAGAGGAGCTGCTGCTGCTTCAACCACTGAGCCGGCCTAGAGCTCAGGGGCCCTTCCCCTCTCAAACTCACTCCTAGTTCATATCAAACGTACATGGGTGCTGCTCTGGAGCCTCCGGCCTCGCTCCTTGTCTGCGAGTGACCTGAAGCCAGGAAAGCCGCTCTCTGCATTCGGTTAGTGTGCTGTGAAGTTAGATGGATCCCAGTGGGCTCAGGAGACTAGAGGCTGGAGCGGCACGAGTCCGTTCCCAGGAGACACCAGGAATCTGAATCCAAGTCAGGTTTCGGATCCACTTCCGTCTCCTCTTTGGCTGTCTGTGTTCCTTTGGAATGAACCTCCACCTGCCAAAACACACAGCTGTTATCCAAACAGCTCTAGGACTAGCTGTGAAGAAGCTAGGAGCCACACAAAGCACAGTTTCTATTCTCCACAGCCATTTGGGACTCTCCACAATATCTGACAGCTCATCCCTTCTCATCAGAAGAAATAAAGGGGAATCCCAGGTCCCTCAAGGACTGGGCTGTCCTCACAGGAAACAGTCGTCTTGGCTTCGCTCCTGTTGCTACTACCAGAGCCCGCACCAGCAGCTCAAGAGACAGGCACCACGCTCCATCCCCCCATTCTGCTCTGAGAGACACATTTCTTAAGCGCTGCTTCATTCTGTGCAGCCTGCACAATCTACACAGGAGCCAAGATCAGAGTAGTGAGCCCTGAGCATGGATGTGCACCCAGGTGATGGGTCCTCACCTGCTGTATTCTCTCCGTCCCCCTGCAGAACTGCTGGAGTTGGGCACTCAGACGAACAGTTTCCTGCTGCAGCTTCTTCTGATCATCCAGACACTGTAAAACCAGGCCTCGGAGGTGTGTCACCTCCACCTGCAGAGCACTACACATGCAGCCCGCAACAGAAGATGCAGCCTTCCCTTCACCACATGGCAAGGTTGGACTCAGGCAAGTAGGCTGCAGAGACACAGGGGGATGCCAGGACAGGTTTGAGTGCAAGGCCAGGAGTTGTATATGTCACAAAAAGAAATCATGCACAGAAAGTGTCACCCCAGCTCATTTCCCAACTTCCCAAACTTCTAGCAGCCAAGGCCAGCAAGCTACTACTCATCACATCTTCAGTACAAAGCTACTAACTTCCTCCTTTTTCTGGGAAAGCTGCTCATGTCCTCCTATCATCAAAATCCATTCGGTTCACCCTCCTTTACCTAAAGCCTGGGATCTGTGCATCCTCTTGGGACAGAAAACTCCTGGAATAAGGTAGTTTCACAGGTTGTAATTTCTCAGTGATTTTCTATATCAGTTGCTCTTCCTATCTCACAACAATTTCTGATTTCTAAATTTCTATCTTCTGCTAGGCTTTTTTTTTTTTCTGATTGCATTAACTGGATTTTTTCCCGAAACTGATCTCATTATTTTCAATCTGACCAAGCCCCAGCTTTTTGTTCTAGACTGCTGTGAATTGTTCTGTTTGCAGCATCATCTCTGATTATCAACAGCCCTCTTTTTCACATCCAGATGAATTAGGCCAATCCAACACCCTCTTAGCCCTCCCCATAATTCAAACATTGTCATTTAGAGTTCCCAAGAGCTTTTGGCCAAGCATTCACTTAGATAACATTACCCAGGGCTCTGGTTTGGGCTTGTTTAGTCCAACAGGTTCCTCAGAGGCCACTTTGAGTCCCTGAAGTTTCTGGTAAGGGAGAGTCTCCTTCTCGGGCTCTGAAGATGCCATGCTCAGAGGAAAGGGGCTGTCAGGCATCGGGATGAATTCAGCATTCTCCAGCTCCTGCATACACAAAAGCAGTACTGTCAGGCCCACCTGCCTTCCTGCAGCTGACTTCATCTCCTCAACCGATGCACCAACACCCTCTTGTGGTAAAAAAGGCAGCAAGGCCTAAAGGGCTCCCTGCGAAGCACAGCTCTGAGAACCTTTCAGAGCATCCCTTAAAGGTGGAAGGGGTCACTCGCTTTTCCCCAGCCTAGATCATTTTAAAGCATTTCTGAGACACCACATTACCTTCCGCAGCCAGCCAGGGCAGGAGCTGCTGTCAGCGCTGTTGCCTCCCTTTGCTTCTGTCGTGCTGATCCAGCCCCCCAGCTCACGATCTGCTTCCATGGTTCCCCGAAAGCCTCCACTGGGATTGGGGGTCTCCGCTTCCTGTTCATTATCCTCTTCCTCTCCTCCTCCAGTTGTGCAGCTCTGAGCCACTAGTAAACAAGAGTGAAAAACTATACTTTCCCCACCTTTGCCATTTTTGTTGCCAAATCCCAGCTGGAGCAGAGAAGATGCAGAAATTTGGGCTCTATGGCCACAGTGAAAGCACACGCTAGCAGCATCTCCCTCAACAGCTTAACTCCTAACAATCGCTGCAGGCATCCCCAAAAGGGCTTGTGTGCAGTAGTCTTTTGCAGCTTCTTGGCCCCAGCCCTCCCACAGGTCCAAGAAACATGACTCCAACTCTCCAGCAACGGCTTTATAGCCCCGCTTCCCTCCCATATCAGCTCCCTTCAGTGAATTCCTCTCAGCTTCTTCTTGTTAAATTGAAGATCCTCAAATACAAAGGCCTCACTCCACCCATGTTCTTCCTCCTCTGCTTCAGTTCTCTCTTTCCCAGCTTTGGCTCATCCCTTCCCATGCACAGCACCAACTAGATTTCCTCCCTTGGAGCTCTTCTGGGAGGCCTTTCAAACACACAGAAACCATGCTGCAGGACCAAACTGCACCCACTCAAACTATCCACTGAATGGACTTAAGCCACAGATCCCCAGGGCAGGTTACTCACCAGTACCAATGGACAGGCCACTGCTGTTGGATCGGATTGTTTTAGAGTTCAACACCTTTTCTGCAGAGAGAAGCATGCTTTCAGTTAGTGTGCCACATGGAAAGCAAGACAACTCTTACAAAGGCACACATAAAAGCACATGTTGCAGGCCTAGAGCTCAGAGCAGCTTGCCACATTCCCCCACAGCAACCTGGCCTGTTCCCAGGCAGGATTTATAGTCTAGGTCCTGGCAAGCAACACAGCATCATAACCAAATCTCAAAATTCCATCCTAAACTCACACTTACCAACAATGATGATGGTGTGCCAGCCACGGCATGACAGGTCTGGAACGTGATGCAATGATCCAAATATTGGCCGAGGCCATGAGGTACAAATATCTGAGCCATGAGCTCTCTCAGTGGATGTCATTGCCAGACGCCCATTCCCGCCGTTACCCCAGGCAAAGATATGGTTGTCTGAGGAAAGAGAGATTCAGAAGCCTCAATCTGCTCACTCCCTCTCGGCCTACAATTGCTACAACAATCACAGCCTTTCTGCTGTGACTGCTGTCCCAAAGTATGGAATCCACCAGCTCCGTTCTGCCAGTGGGAGAACAAACTGATAATGAATCTAACAGGCAGCCACCAAGTCAACACTCTGCATCCCCAGGGACAACAAATGCTTGGAGCTGCACTGGGACAACTAACAGGGCCAGACAGCCCCAGCCAAGGAGGATTTCTTTATTTCAGTGCAGTGCTGTGGGGGTGGTCTAGGAAATGATCAGTGGGAGCCAGTTAACCACCCTGCAAATCTTGTTCAAAGGTACCCACCACAAGTTTGCAAAGACCCACTCACCGTCAGTAGCAGCTATGGTGAATTCATCTCCACATGAAACCCTGATCACCTGCTTACCCCCCAGGGGGCCTCCCAGCAGGTTAATTCCCAGGTGCTTCTTATAGTCCCCAACACCAAGCTGTCCGCACTTGTTGGAGCCGAAGGTCAGCAGGCGGCCTCGCTCTGAGAGGAGGAACAAGGAGACAGTGACAGCGAGGGCCCAACTCTGGAAGCAGACATGCATGCAGAGCACTAGCAGCAACAGCCCACGACCAGGAAGGACTCCGAGAAGCCAGCCAGGCTGGGAGGGGACAGTGCCAGCCAAGAGGAATGGCTTCAGCCTGGAAACATCTCCCCAGTTCCTTCTCCCTTTGCTCCCTTTTTCTGATGCTGGGGGCTTGGTCTCCTCACAGCCTTCTGCTTGGTGTCACTTGGGCAAAGCCTAACTCTGTCATAAACGATTCCTCCACTATCCCAGAGCGTGAGTCTTCCCTAAACTTTTTTTTTTCCTTAATAAAAAAAAAAAAAAAAAAAAGAAAAGAAAAGCTGACCCAGAAGCTGATGTTGCTGCTTCAGCTGGCCAGGTGGCAACACTGCTGAGGAACAAGAATCCTGGGTTTCTGGAGCAAGCATGAGCCCTGCTACCAAGAGCACAACCCTCAATGTCAAGGGCCAGGATGAAAGGGCAAAGCTGATGTAAAGTAATCCAGCAACTAGTATTAATTTCCTAATACATGGGGCTCACCATCAATGGAAGCTGTGTGTGTCTTCCCTGGAGCAATGGTACGGATCTTGTAGAAGGACAGCTGCTTGGCCAAAGTAAGGGAAGTGGCATATGGTACCTCACAGTACGTCTGAGAAAAGACATGTAGGTAAGCACAGAGTGAAAAACCACACGTTCATCAGCTAAGACCTACTCAGTCAGACCTTGGCAGACCACGTTAATCTAGACAGTCCCAACACAGGTTGGGTAAAGAACTGCCAGAATCCATGTCACTGGCTAAGTCACCCTGCAGAAGCTCGCTGTATGTTTCACTACCTCTGATCTGACATAAGCCCTTAGGGCAGACAGAAAACTGAGGAACAAATTGCCTCTTCCCCCAGTCCCAGTATCCACTGTCTTGGATTGGAACTAACAAATTGGCACAAAGCTAACAAATACTTTGTCACTGTCATGGGACCTCCATTTCCCTATATACTACTGACTGCTGGGAGCTGGGGCCAGGGACCCAAACACACTCACGTCATGGTTGATTATCCCTGATGTGCACTGATTCAGGCCCAGCTTGTTGAACTCGTTGAGTCCACATGCCAAGACTTTGCCTGTCTGGGTGAGCAGGAAAGTCCCATCACAGCCACAGTGAACAGACACAATGTTTAAGGTCTTCGGAACATCCACCTATGTGGAGGAAATACATCCTGAGAAAATCAAAATCCCAACACATACTACATAGAAGCTGGCACATGGAAAACATGGAGTTAGAGCAGTAGTTCAGCTAGTCTGGGCACTGACAATACCCAATGCAGTTATTTTGAATGAAAGTGCAAGAATACCATCAAGTCTATAGCATACTGAAGCTCCAGTCACAATGCAGAAATTCAAGGCATTCTAGACCTTGTGCACAGACACAGGAACCAGAAATGTAGTGCCCAGGCATCCCGGCCAGCTGGGGTCTACAAGCACCATACCCAGTTAGCTGAGCAGGGCTGGGACTGTGCTCTGTGTGTGCACGATACCGTGTGATCACAGATATTTGGCTTCCAGGCACATCCTTGTTGGTTTCTAACCCCCAATGGCCTAGATTACCGCAAATTACCCCTAGCACTGTATTTCAAGAGGGTTTTACTTTCAACTCATCTTTAACTCATTATGTCAAATTCAAAGACTCCCCGTTGTTTGCATTGCCGTGAGTTTCCTCTACAGACCTGTGGTATGCAATTTGGTATTTCATTCTACAACATTAAGTTTGACATTTCCAGTTCCAGACTGGAGATTAGAGCAATGAAGCTCTAAGTTATGATGCTGGCTGGTTACAGAGCGGCACATCTCTCTGCCATGATGTCTATGGACAAATGAAGCAAAATGAAAAGTGAGGAAGTTAAAACCCTCACAATCTCTATACCACCTCAGAAAAACACCTGAGCCTCAGGCAGTTAATATTTCCAAAAAGCAACTAATTTGGATTTATGCCCATGCAGATTTTGAGAAGTAGTCACAGCCCTACCTTCTGAGGGGTGTAGTGATCTTCTTCTGAATCCAAGCCCAAGCGCCCTGCATTAGTGAAAACACTGCAGTTAGAAATGGCCTCACAAGGTGCCTGCCCCTAGCAAATGGTATTGCCTCTCCTCAGTCCCAAAGGAATCTCCCTACAGAACTAGAAACCTGCTCCCCTACATGCACCATTGCCTGCAAGTCCTCAAGGTAATCCAATCCCACTCACAGAACAACTGCCCTACCCACAAGGAAGCCAAGCAGCACCCTAGAGCTTCCCAGAGTAAAGTCCCAAGAGCTCAGTCCCCAGTTCCCCACTTTTACAAGGAAAGAAAGCCCCAGAGAAACAATGTTCTTTGCCCCAGGACATATCAGACAGCCCTCACCCAGGCCCTGCATTAACACACCTGCAGCAAGCCACTTTCTGAAGCGCACATGCCCCAGTGCCTTTAGGTTCCAGGGTGTCTCTACCTACCATACTCCCCACAGCCCCATGTGTAAACTTCTCTGCTCCTGGTCAGCACTGCCACGTGGTTATCTCCACACGAGACCTGCTCCACAGGGTTGGTAAGAAAGAAATCCAGCTGCAGGGGCTCAAGCACTTCAGAGCCATAAGCCTTGTCAACGCCAACGCATCCATAATAGTCTGAGCCAAAGGCATACACCTGGCCCTCATCTGAAGGACACAAGGGAAGCTTGGTCAGCACACAGGGCCTGTATTAGGCTGCATATTAACCTCTTAGGACACAGCCAGAGCAACCACTCTTCATCTTCCTCTATAGTACAGAAGAATGTCATCAGGAGAATATGGAGTCCTTTCCTGTTCACATTAAGATGGACGACCTACACCACAACCTGCAGCTATTTCAGGCCACCAGTGTCAAAAAGTCTTGGGTCAAACCCGCCACTTTCTTTAACAAAAACCCATAAATTGATCCTGTGGCTTCCTAAGTCACTCCTCCAGCACACTGAGCATCTGAGCCTATTTTTGTCAAACCTCTGCTTTTCCAGCACTGGTAAAATAATATGGAAGCTACCTTGCTGAGAATTAGGTTTTCATGGGTAAAGCGAGATTCAAATTCTTCCGTAAGTGACACCACCACAGTTAACACATCTTTGTATGACCAGGGTCAGAACCAGAGGCAGCTACCAGGCCTCAGTCTTTCTGAATGAAATAGCAAATCTCAGATACACATCTTCTTTTATCATTGGGTGACTCTTTCCCCACACAGTCAAAACCCAGTTTCAAACACATTTACATTCTTGACTTCAGGCTCCCCTGTGTTTAATATGGTCCTGTATGGAGGCAACACATGCATTGGTAAGAGCAGGAACTCTGTGACCCTGCACAGCCACAAGGAGCTGTGCTCAACACCCAGCTTCATCACCAAAAAGGAGCACATCCTTAGCAAAATACCCAGCCTTCTTGGGAGTCAGTATCTTTCTCTGTATAATAACGTTGATCTATCTCCACTAACACAGTTACTATCCTCAAAACTGAGGGGTAATACACGGGACTCCCTCTTCTGTGCACAAAGCTGCTCTGCTAATCCTACTGTGAAGGCAAACATCTCCACAGCACAGCAAAGTGAGGGAGAGTGGTCCCCTTCCAGCTCTCACCTGTAATGCACACTGTGAAATCATCTCCGCAGGACACCTGGCGAATGGCTTTTCCCTGAAGCTTCTCGACATGCTTTGGCTGCCGGTACGAGGCTCTGTCTCCATGTCCCAGCTGCCCATGCAACTTGGTGCCCCCCTGCATATTCTGCAAGACAGAAACATCTGGTAAGGTTGTGTATCCACAACTACAGAGACGGTGCCAGTAATTACAGCACCTTGAATGAACAACAGAAGACAGCAAAGAGCAAGAGAAAGTGCGTTAGCTACCTTAGGGAAGAAACTGCTATCTGCTATGTGGCATAACAGCAGGCAACATTCTAAATGGCAGCACAGGCTTTCAGGCCGTTATGCACTAATGAGGAGCGATCCTGTCTCAGGCCACCAGCTGGTGAGGAATCCCTGATCCTTTCTGATCTGCCAGGCTACAGAACCCGCCTTTCTGCTACAGGACTGAAATTCACCCTTCAGCTTTTTGACCTACTACTCTAAATCCTAATGTCTGCAAAGAAATCCATAACATGAAACAAATGTCACTGAAGTGGCCAGACCTAACAATTCTACAGGAAAAAACAAAACAACTCTGAGTAGTGTTGAAGCTGAAACTAAATTATTAGCCAGCTGAAAGTTTTCAGTAGCCATTCTTGCAAGAATATCCAGCAAACGACTTCAACTTGCTTCCATTTGGAACTCTTTCTTCACTCACCTGCCTACCAGTAATTTCTAATCTGTTTTAACAGATTCTGTATCATCAATACAAAAGCTGGTGGAAGCCTGGAGATGCAGAATACCTCCACGTCACTGACCATCTAAGCCTAAGAAAACTAGATTCAATTGTTTTAAATGCATTATATGCCAGCATTTTTTTATTCACTTTAAACTATTACAGAATTTCCACTTATCATGAAAAGCAGAGTTGTTTAGTATAAGACATGTCTGGTTTCATCCACAAGTTGCCTCATGGATGACATCTGTATTATGGTCACTCATCCCACCTATTCTGATCTCAGAAAATGTTCCTCAAAAACACACAAAGCCATCAGAGCATCACAAAGCCTCCAAGTGCGTTCCCAGTCATCAGGAAGGGGAGGAAGAGATGTTTGATGCAGTGTCTGGGCTTGCAAGTCCACCACTTAAAATCCTCAAGCACACAGCAAGTCTCCAATACGTTTCCTGTCACAATGGAAAACCTCCCAAGAACACACTTGCCTTGGGAGACCTGGGGCAGCCCCAAAGCAGATGTCCTCACAGTGTCCACTGCAAACAGATTTCCCCTTTTCCAAGCTGCTGGCCCATTTGATTTTAACAGGCTCATGAACGGTCAGCACTGGATCTGGACTCTCCTGTCCCACCCTCACCCCCTCCCTGCAGTTTCTTTCACTTACCACCCAGGTGTAGAGCTCCTTCTCCACTGTCACCACAGCAAAGTGAGTGTTACCAGCACACACCTGGCGTGCACTGCAGCCACTTTTGATGGCATCCAGCTTCTGGGGGGTGGACTTCCCACCCCCCCAGACATACACCTCACTAGTGCGCGAAGTCACCACGGCGATGGGAGCCTCATTCATGGTACTGGACCTGCACAAAATACACATGCTATTAATAACGAGTTTGCATTCACTGTCATCATTCATTTTTCTACCGTTGTCCATCAGTTTTCATTTCACAACCATTCATGGTTTTTATTTTCACAAACTGCTCTTTTTATTGAGCGGTTGTGAGGCCTCAACTACTATGGAGAGACTCAGGATCAAACCTGTTACAGAGCAGCAGAGAAAGTAGCCTCCAGGAAGCATTTTAAAAAGCCTACAAATCCAATTTGATGTAATTTTAAAAGACCAGGCTTTTACTGAATGGCCATGGAGCTGCTCCAATTTCTGAAAAATGAAAGCCTTACAAATGGTCATGAAATCTTTCTCAAAATACAGAAGCATCCAAAAGCTTCTAACTTCCCTCTCTCCTCTATCTAAATTACAGGCTTCCATCCAAGGACAAAAATATAACTCTGTGATGCAGGTAAGAATCAATTCACAAGAAGATTGCAAAATAGAAGTTGTAATCAAAGCAAACTGTTTGCGAGCAACACACGAACTGGAACAACTTCACACGAAGTGCTCAAATAGTACTTCCAACTTTATGAAGAACAAAAGGTCAAATTCTATGTGAAAAGTCAACAGAAAAAGAGCTATACATGTCAAAGAAGCCATCTGCTTCACAAAGCAACCCTGCTTACAGGCTTGCTGGGGACTGCGGAGAACATCTGCATATATCCAGTTTTATGAATTATATTTATTTAATATTCAACATTCAGACAGGCATATTCCTCCTGCTCAAGGGAACCTGTGTGAAAGGAGCAATCTACATTACATCCTCAGAAATGCAGGCTGTAAAGACTACATCCTCAGCAGGACAGATTAGAGCTGTATGGGACCTGCTGAGGTAAGGTTCCAGCCACACATCTAAACAGGATATAAGACAGAATAAAACATGGGACAATAATCATGTAACATCTATGTCAAATTCCTAGCATTTAGGGATCTTCTACACTATTCCATTCAGGTTGTCACAGACTAACACTATCAGCAAAGTTCCTCTCTGGGGAGCTGTTGTCTCCAGACTTCCTTTCAAACACATGCCTAAATAATTACCTTGGTCGCTTATTTGGCCCATTAAGCAGTGTGACTTTCTCTTCCATCTCCCTGCCAAAGGAGAAAAAGGATTTTAGGAAACAGTAACATCATCCAAAGCAATTTACTGACAAGCAGCACACACAAACTGCTTTCCTTTCCAATAAAACACTGCTCCCTCTTGGAGGAAATGTGGCAGCTGTTTACCAGCTCATAGCAATAAATACACAGTAAGTAGGACAGAAGTAATGTACCATATTAGCTCACAATCTTCCAGGAGAGCTGAAGACAACAAACTACATATATACCAGAATGTGGCCAACCAATACCCATACTGCACAAGAATGACCATAAATGACTAAATATTATCAGGATTTGGGCTTTTACCAGTGTATACAGCAAGACAAAACTCAAAACTTTGCTGACCACCAAGTAAAAGAATCTTTGTATAAAGATTTAAGTCAGCTGTCCCCAAAGCAACCAATGTGGGATCCAAACAGTCCAGAATTATGGTCAACCTTTCATAAAAAGAGAGTGTGAGGGCTGATGGTCAAACCAAGCTAAAATGGGCCACTTTCAGTGTAACTGTCTCTAGAAGAGGGAGGTGACAACGGGAGAAATTGAGGGCTCTCTATATTGCATGATAGGTGTATTTTGAAAGGCCTTTCCCAATGACCATACAAGGATCTCTGTGACCTTTCGTTCGCATATATTTGAAGAGAGGGAACCACCATTCCTCAAAGGAGCCTCAAAAAGGGAGGCCTCAAGTTTTTCAATACAACAGCTTTTAAGACAAAGGACACAGAGACTTTTCTCACCATACACATGCACCTACAGAGCATCAAATCAGAAGACAAGACAGCGAGAATGCAATTCTCCTCTAGAGAGGATGAAGTATACTTCAACAACTGCCTCATGTCAGGCCAAATTAACTTAAGGACTCTGATACAAAAGCATAAACATCACTATTCTGCACAAACCCTCATGCTCTCCCTGACATTTGTCCAGGTTTCAGGCAAGACCATCTGATTACCTCCTGCGTTTGCTGAGAAGGGGATGCTCAAGCAATTCATCTGCAGTGGGTCTCTTCTCTGGATCCTGAAAGAAGTGAGCAACAAGTCATTTCCTGGAAAGTGCCCATTATCTACAACAAAATCTTGGGCCAGAAGACCTCATTCAAGTCTGCATGGACCTCCTTCCCTGACTCCATTTGGAAGGGAAAAGAATTAATTTGGATAAATGCCAGCGATGTGCAGGAGGGACTTTCATGATCTGGAGGTATCAATATTGTGTTTGCTTTCAATTAATTAATTCCCTATAGAAAGCCAGAGTCAAGGTCAGAAAGACAGACCCTTAAGAGAGTGCACTAAGATGATGCTCCCACCTCCACGGCACTGAGTTAGAAAATAATTGCTTCTGCCAGCCCATTAAACAATTGTTGCCAGAGTAAACCTAGCACAGAGCCTGCAGGACTGAATGGCATCTTAAGACAATGCTTTCAGAGGACTGCAGGAAGATGAGCCTTAGTGATGCCCCAGGCCTCACAGAAATTACCCTGCATCAGCAGCCCTTGTGCTGAAACAGGCATGCCATTCCCCTTCACCCCTGAATTCCATGGCTTAGGCAGCTGGGAAGGGGTGTCTAAAAATTAAAAAGTATTTCACCAACCTGATCAAGGCAGGAATTCACCATCTGGATCAGCTCCCGGGAGTAGACGGTGGAATCAACTTCCATGGCGCGATTTCCCTGTACAATCTTCACACAAAGGTTCAGGGGATTCTAGACAGAAACCAGAAACCAGCTGTAAGGGAACTGAACTGGCCAATGTGTCCAACAGGGACTGATGCTACAGGTCACCATTACTTTCTTTCTTCTTCTCTTAACAGGACACATCCTGCTTCTTCCCTGCCTACCAGGTTCTCCAGAAAGCTAATAATTCCTGCAGAAGTGGTACCTTTGGTAGCTAGGACTTGGTGGCAACATCCAGCTTTTCACCAAGTCCCCTAACAGTGGAGGGAGGATAGGCTTCTCTCTGCATGCAATCTCCTCTGCAGCATATTCCCCGTGAAACACTGCACAGCAGCAAAGTTACTGGGGATTTGGTAGCCATGATGAGAGGAAGTCAGGAAAGGATGGTATTTTCACATTCCCTCTTTAAGGGTTACAAAATCTTGCACCATGGCAGCTAGCAGCTTTTCCCATCTTGTGGCACAAGCTAGAAAAATCATGCATGCCAGCCAGCAATGCTCCCTTTCACACTCTCCATGCCAGCACGACCACATTTCTTTTGCACCCAAACTTTGAGAAAGTGTAACAGGATTAAATCCTATGAAATCTGAAGGCTGGAATTTTTTGCTACAGAATGTGCTGCACAGAAAATTCACAGATAGTAAGGCTGAAAAAAAACAGACTACACAATCACAAACTTCCTCCTTGTAGAGAAAAGGACATTTCATTCACAACGACAGACAATACAAATTAGCACAGCTTGTATTCTGTATCTGGTAAACCCAGGGCTACAGAAGACAAGGGTGGGTTTGGCAGATGCCGGAGAGGCACCTGCAGTGCAGGGTAGGGGAAATCATGCAGACATTTTCTCTGGCTACAGTTGGCACTCCCAGGCCACTGTTTTCTTAATCAGCAGATTTAAACAACAATGAAAGGAAAACATGAGTTAAGAAAGCTATGAACCAAATGTGAATCTCAGGGTGATAAAAAATAAGGTCACTCAGTCCCATCCTGGTTTGCAGACTTACAGTAGCATCAAAAGTCCTCTTCAGAGTAAGCAGCTCAAAGATGACACAGCCCACAGCCCAAATATCCGATTTGAAGTTGTATTTCACACCCTGGCAGAGTTCTGGGGACATGTAATACGGAGTTCCCACCAGCTACAAAAAATAACATTTAAAAATCAGAAATGATCCAGCAGCCTTCAATTCATGAGCTCTGCATCTATCATGTTCACACTGGCCCATTAGCACCAGAGCTAGACACATCTCTGAAGTGACACAGATGACACACCCCACCAACGTGCTGGAGGAACAGAAACAATAAGCATGTTTCTTCCCGTCCCAGACACCTCTCTGCTCAGATCCTGATGTGGTACATACTTCTCAATAGAGTAGTAGTCATGACAATGCAGAAAGGACTTGCCCCTCTCTTAAATATACTACATTTAGATGTAATCAAGGGCTTAAGTACTGGCCAGGCATATGGAAATGCTCATAAGAGGTTGAGAGAAAAGGGATCTAGGCAAAGCTTCCAAACACAGACGCCAGCCCATGGCTTTAGAGTGACTCTGATCACAAGGAACTGCCAGGACAAAGGCTACTCTGTCTCCAATCAGAGGAGTTACTTTTGGGTCAGTAAGTAGAAAGCTGGCATGAGTCCCACCTGAATGACCTTCATTTCCAAAGTGGGCTTTCCTGTTTAAAACAAACACCCCCCACCACACACAAAATCCCAAACCCCAGAATTTAAATACAGAAACCCTCCCAACTACAACAGAAATAGTGGCATAGCTCAACATCACAACGAGACAGAACAAACATGATAAAAGGTGTAAGAATGAAGCTTCTAGATGAAGGGAGCTCATTCCCTAGCAAGGAACAAAACAGCGAAATAAAATGAAAAAGACAGAATTTAGAGGGGAAAATATTTATAGTTGCCCTCTTTTAAACTCTCTCAGCAAAGCTCCAGGCACTACAAAGCTTGCCTTTTATTAGGCTCTGCTAGTATACTAGATACCTAATAGGCACATTCAGAATCTGCCATTTCCTTTCCATTTCCCGTTACAGGGCACAACAGCTACAGAGCTATGCGAGTCCTAGCCACAGGAAGGTTTAGAAGCCCACCTAGTTGGAGAATCATATGAAGAACTAGGACACTGAACCTAAACTTTTTTTAGGCAAAGGATTATGTAAGCTTTCTGTAAGAAAGGCACAGACATATTTTCTATATCTTCCTTGGTAAATAACAGAAAGAACGATAAATTAAGATATCAGCGTTTAGTAAGTAAGATGTAAACATGTTACAAAATTGTAACTTGTCACTTAAACTTACAAATACTGACAATAACACATTCTGTGCTCATTTCATAAAAAATGAACTTGCAGACTGCCACTGGTTATTAGATCACAAACTGAGCAACTAGCTCAGAACACAGCCTGCATATACAGAATAAAATACGGTCAAAGATATGTAGCTCAAAATTTTTCAGAAGTGAGAATGGGAAAAAAAAAAAAAAAAAAAAAGCTTGCAGGTACAGATGAACACACACAACAGGCAAAAACAAACCTAGAAATTCACAGCACAGACTGCACTTTCTCTGATAGCCAGAAGGCCGTGAAAAATGTGACAAAACAGAAGTGGCTGTGCTGCAGCCCAGCTTAGCAATGACTTTATGCAGTAGCCTTCAGTTCCCCTTAACTGTGCAACTGCACAATAGCACTCATGTTCTGGAAGGAGGTTGGCAAGTATTAAACTACACATCCTAACAGAACACCAACAGCTTGCATTAAATCTAATAACAGAGCCTGGTAAGGGGAAGTGCGAGCTGGCTTGCATCCCAAACTGTAATAAAGGCCTTTAGCAGAAAGGAACTCCAGACAATGTCTCCCTTTCCAAGCCTAGTGCTCACCACAGGAATTAATGGAGCTGGGAAATCCAAGCTGAGCCTTTCAGGTGCCTGCAATACAGTTTACCCTGCATCATAATTGTGGTTGCAAAACTGCTTTCTGGAAGGGTCTGAAACAAAGAAAGCTAAGCTTGACAGCCTTCTGGTAGAATTAATCTCTCCTACAGAGCTTTGAACCCCTCCAAAAGCATTACCAATAAACCATACACTTGTTTGTAATTCAGTGCAGAGCCTGAGTACTAAAGAATTAGGAGACCTATCTATAGCACGGTGCAATGTCAGGCAAGCACATGCAAGCTATCTCAGATCCAGCTGAGGCAAAACGCCCCTGTTAGCACAGCAGCATGACCAAATTAATTTATCTTGATAAGATGGGCTTAACCAGCCCTGAGGAAGAGCACTGTATTGATGTGACTGTACTGCTGTATCTGTACCTCTGGATAGCACTGCCTTCATATTACATAGATTCACATTTGGAAGTACCATGCCTAGGTATCAGAGAAAGAAGAGCAATGCTCTCTAGCACAGCTACACTGGCTCTGGCACAATTCCATGCCCATAGTGGCACTCATCTTTAGTCTGCTGCTGCTTTGCAGAGACACAGACATCCAAAAGGCAACCTGGGAGCAAGGATAACTGCAGGCTGCAACATACCAGCAAATATGCCATGTTAGTGAGATAACATTGAGAGAAATCAAGGGAAAACCACAGAAAACAAGCAGCAAGAACATACAACATCCCTGGTCGTCTGCGAGGCATGCAGAGATGAAAGAAAAACACACCTCAGTTTGCACACAAAGGCAGCAGATACTCACAGTCTCAGCCATAGAGTACTCAGAGTTCAGCTTCTTTGCCAACCCATAGTCTCCCAATTTAATCAGGTTTGCCTTAGTTAGAAAGATATTTAATGTCTTTATATCCCTGAAAGGAGAAAAAGAAATGCAGACACTCAAACATATTTCTGGATTTCAGAGTTTTCCACACACTACTACACCTCCCTCCCCAAATGAGGTACTTGCTACTCTGCCAACACACTCTCACTCACGCACGGAGCTCTTCAAAGGCAATCTGACCCCAAGTACAGGGGCAGCAAACTGCAGTTATCCATGTTTTATCACATCCCCAGACAAACACAACACAGTCTAAGAAGTTCAGGCTCCAGACACCTATGCAAAGGCCACAGATCAAAGACAGCTCTTTTTCCCCTCTCAGTCTCTTCTCATATGAAGGTCATTGAGCAGGTCTTATTTTTCCTGGTTTTATAAATAGACCGAAGCCAGGAGTGCCGAGCTCACTAAAAACATAAACATATGCATGAATATGTATGTATGCAAATATAGACACAGAGGGTGTGAAACAGATGCCACTCTAGAACTTAAACATAACACCCCTCTACTTTATGCCTCAAGAACAACTCTTTATAACATGACGTACTATGCCCAGAAGATCAAAAGGCTGATGGCCACAAAAAATGCTGAATTCTGAAAGTCACTGAAAATACTTTCTCCCAGAGTAATTTATATGTCGTTTCACAGATCGGTACAAGAGGCAGTAAATACAGAGAGGAAGCCCCCACATTATGATATGCTTCCCATGGCCAACATTTCATAACACCCCCTTTTCCTAACGTACCATCAACAACTTCCCAGTGTAGATCAGGACAACATCAAGTAAAGCAGCACTTTGCATTCATCCACTTGGGGCATCGCAAAGTCCTGGGTCACTCTGACAATGTCTGCAGCAGAAGGAAATCACTGCAAACATTTAAATAACTGTTCAATTCATTATGATGGAAGGATCTGGGGCCACACATGTTCCTAGACTGTGAACCCTGCTGTGAAGATGGGCAACAGAGCTGGCAAGCAGGAAATCACTGCAAAGCAGGACAGACATGACATCTGCTTTAGTTCAAAAACTTAGGTGCCATTTTGCTGAGTGTAGGGTACTAACCCTTCATTAGCAAGGCTTGCCAACTACCAAAGATTTAGAATGGCAGCAACCAGGATGCTATCCCACAGAAAACATCCTCACACAGCTGTGCTCATTAGTTAGAGAAGGATGTGATGCAGCACACAATCCAACCATGCTAGAAACAGCTGTCTACATGTGTGGTACTCCCCAGAACATCACAGCCTCCTTGAAGCACATGTAAGCCATGAAATTTACCCCTCCCAAATAGAAAAGGGCAACAGAAAAAGATAATTAGCTACTCATTCAAATCTCAGAGTCAATGTCAAAATTACCACTTTTAGTTAACAAGCTATATTACTTCCTTAAATAACAGGCTGAAGAAATGAGATTCAGCCAAATGCAGGACAAATCTTCGCATGGGCTGTATTACAGCAATGCACCAATGCAAAGTCTTCATCACAGTTAGCCTCCAGGAATTACAGAAGGATGTACACGTTGAAGCCACTAATTGTGGAACAGGTAGGAATTACCTTTGGCCTGTGGTAACTGCTCTTCCTACCCACTTTAGCAAACATCATTTATGTGCTATGGCAATAAAGGGCCAATTTACTTCCTTCCTACGTGGATTAACTCTCTGTTCACTAAGCTGCAGCATCAAAGACAGCAATTCCATTTTCACATACAAAATTTCTTGCACATTTATCACAAGACAGCTTCTAGCCCAATAAAAATTCTTTACAGAAGGGATACTTAACATGAAGGTAGTCCAGGTATGCTTTGGGAAGAAGCTCAGTGCTTGCTTTAAATACAGAAGCAAAGGCTACTCAAAGGAGTTCTGCGCTCACATCCATGAATCGCACTGGTTACCTTAGCTTTACCACATGCCACACTTACCTGTGAAGAATCCCTGCTCGATGAATGCAGCTCACAGCTGATGCAATTTGAAAGAGATACCAAACCACCATCTGCAAAGGTAGGAATAAAAGCGCTACATGAGGCTCAAAAAAACCCCATGTCCCAGTCACACAGAGGCACAGCAAGAGGGCCTGACCATACCATTTAGATGCCCTTTCAGGAGTATGAAAATGTAGAGTTTCCTGTTTTGGAAATCTCTGAAAAGATATTCCAAAAAGTAGATTGTTCTAGTGCCATTCATAGTGTCTGTCCTGACAAGCGTCAGAGAATGCAGTGATTGAAAAGACTTAGGAATGACAGCTAATGACCACCTGAGAAAGATCTACGGTTGGGCTCTCTGGAATATGAACTGGAACCATTTAATATTCATCGTGAGCCAAAAGGCCTTAAAAGTCATTATATAAGACAAATAAGTGTAATTATTAACCACTTCAGCATGAGGTAGAAGCAGAGAGCAGAAAATAAGTTTAAAAAAAATAAAGAGAAAGGAACAAGAAAAAAAAGAATCTATAGCGAGATAGATTCAAGGTAATGACTCAGAAAAGAACCTACAAAATGGTCAAGACAAGGAAGAAATTGAGTATCCACGAGAAAGAAACACAGCACAAGGTTTTAAAGTTAAATGTTAGCCAAGATGATAGGTGACCAAAGTCAGTTAAGTGCTCTTTTTCATTATGTTTTCCCTTGGAAGTTTATACTGCTTATAGACAGCCAAAAAGGAAAATAAAAAGTTTCTGATAGTCCATAAATGCTTGCAATATTCAGCAGGAGGAAGGATGTCAGTCCCTAGATATACACAGAAATTCCCCACCAGCGCCATGGAAAAAATGTTGTATGAATACTCAGAAACCAGACAGATCCCCAGAACATTAGGCCAGCCCCACTGCTCCCTCAAACCAGTCCAAATTACCTCTTCTTCAAATAACTTGTCTTTCTGCCGCAGAATCTTATCGTAGAGGTTCCCTCCTGTAATTATAAGTAAGTGAGAAAGACAGAGAGGTTCATCTTAGTTAATGGCAGCAGTTACTCTGCTCAGGTACTGCTGGGAATACTCACATGCCCTAAGAGATCTAATGAATCACTACAGCCCTCCCTCAGCACTCTTCACTTAAACTGGTCAGGCACTCACAAAATTAAGTTGTTCATCCATTTAAGAACTTCACTGGCATATCTAAGCTTAAGCAGAGATGATTCTTCCCTAACACCATCGTTTAATACTCTCTGAAAAGTGAATCAGTAAGGTGGGCTAACAGTCCCTACTTTTTTTATCTGTAAGCGCTTTTTGGGATACGTAAACATTCATAATCTGTACAACGAATCACGAGAGACTGTCCTGCTCAGCATTATATATAAATATTATATTAAAAAAGAGAAAGAAAGTAATTATAATTTCAGAGTAGTTGCTGAAAGTACAAGTTACTGCCCAGGTCCGACTTGCCTCTCTCCTTCATCTGCCCTGCCAAATACATCGATGCACAATTCAAAAAGTGTTGACAAAGCATCACCACCAACAGAAGCCTGAAATCAGCAGACTCTTCATGGTACCTCACAATTTCAAGACGGCAAACGGAAAATCAAGGAGAGCTAAAAGAAATGAGGCTGAGGGTTGCAGGCAGTGAGACTCCCTGTCAGATTAGCATCCTACCAGTAAATCCCAGATCTCTGATCACATCCTGTTGTTATTCCATTTCCCAATTATCATATATTATGTCCTAATAGCAACAGAACACCAGACCCTTTCCCATTCCCATGGGTATGGTGCAAGACAGCTTTCTGCTATATGATTTCCGTGGGCCTGTCAAGTTGTAGATGTCCAAAGCAGGTCGCAATGGCTCCTTTGATTCCTTGATGAACTTACTTCAGACTTCCACATTAGGAAGATCTTTCTAATATTCTTATTAAGATTCCCTTCACTTAATTTCTTCATTCATCTTTGCTATAACCTCTCAACAATTATTTTTTCTGCCTTATATTTACATTTGTAAGTTATCTACAAATCACTCTTCACATTCACAATTTAACCAAAGTATTCACTTCTGCCTCTTCTTCTGAACCTCTTTCCTAGAGATTCAGATCATGTAGACTTTCAGTGAATTGTTCCTCATCTCTGATCTTTTGCCATTTTTTTCCACAGCTTTTCCAAACCAAAGAGCAGCATGACAGGTACTACATTGCCAAAATCCTACACAAGGAGACAAATTAGCTCTTGACTCAGATAACCAATACCTCTATGCACACATACTAAAAGAAAAACAAATTACTTCCTTCTTTGTTTCATCTAATTACATCTAACCTCATGCTCTATGCTCTCTTCAACAATAAGATATTTCTTCCCAAATCTATTTCAGATGTATTCATCGATGTTATCTCATGATAAATCCAAGTCTTATGGTATCACGATATACATACAGAACTATAGGCAAATAAATCTATAACCTGGCTTCCTCTCCTGTAAAATGGGGAAAATATTTACTCAAATTTGAAAATCTTTCCTACATCTCCAGAAGAGACATGCCAATTAAACAGTAAAAACTTTGGATTCTGAGGAGTGTCTGATAGTGACTAGTCCAGCCTTACTTTAAAAATTACTCACAAATCTTGGACTTGTACACTGGAAAAAAACCCCACAGAAGTAACTATTAACACATTGGCAAAACCAATATCCATAAGTCTAAACGAGATTCTCTCTTTCTCATGTCCCTAGTTCTGTATCACTCAGATATATTCAGGCAACACAGGCTATGTACTCATCTCTTGGTTATTGTGCCAAAATAAAACAGTTTAGAGACATTAGCATGTACAGACTATGCAGCTTCTCTCTATGCCCTTCAATTAATTTATAATGGCCCCAAACATGCAGTCTTTTCGGGGCAGCTAAATAATTCACACAGAGTACTCGTAAAATAAATGGTGCATCAAAGAACTAACGCTCCCCTACTCTTGCACTGGACTCCACTCCGCCTAAGAACAAAAAGCAGAGAAGCAAACCAGCTTTGGTCAACCTACCAAACAGGGTGTTTGACATCTCTCAAAAATACTCTGCACAACTCTGTTGTCCTTCCCAACCTGTCCCAGTGAAAGCAATCTGTCTAAGATGATAACATGATGATAGCCTTTTCCACCAAAAAAAAGTTTCTGCTAACAAGCCAAGGCTTAACATAACCTCCAAACCCACACAGGATACCTACCCAGGGGAGCAGTCCCACTCATCCAAATAGGAACCATATTGCAGTTCTAGGTAGGTATCCTGATCCAGCAGTATTATATGTACACGACCTCTTCCTCCAGCTGTCTAAGAGCAGCTGCAACTCAGACCCTCATATCAAATCCTTCTATCTCTCCATCCCATCTGGGACTGTTTCCCCTGCAAACTCTACACAGTACTATCTGATCTACTCTTGGATGGAATTTTAAGTTTTCTCCACCATCAGAAGGACCAGATTTTTTTTTTTCAATAGTAAACATAGAAGCTGATAGCACAAGACAGCAAAAAGTCCTGACTGCAGTGTGCCAGTAGATTTTTAAGCTCTGATTTATAATTGCCAAATAGAGAGGTCTATTTAAGTGATGCTACTGAAAAACAGCCCCACTCTGTTCTGACAGAGAGGCATGAATATCTTCACGGTCTTTTCCAACTGTCCTGCTAAAAGAACACAACAAGGCACATTAGAAGTGTACATTACCAATAACCCACTTTTTCCACTGCACCAGCTACTCATAAGACTCGAGAAATCATCTACTGCCTGCACTAACTACTGGGCTTCTTTCTTTGGCACCCAAATCAGTCAGAAGGGTTCTCAGAAGCTATGCAGCAGAATTCATCTCCATTCCCCTGCTCCCCAGAGGACACCCCAGGAACACTCCCTGCAGGTGCTGCAGGAAGGTGACTCAGCAATGCAGCAGCCGCCTAAGTGGGAATGGGGATCTCACCATTACAGTACTCCAGCTCAATCAGCAGCGTGGTGTTATCCATGAAGTGATTGTAGTATGCAATGATGTTCTCGTGCTGCAACAGGGCAAGGATAACGATTTCATTCAAAGCATCACGACGTTCCTTTTCTGACAGCCGGGTCAGGTCCACCTCCTTCCACACTACAAGTGAGTCATCCTGAAACACAAATACATCCTTTAATTAAAAACACACTAATATGAAAAGAACAGTAAGTGCCTTTATAGCAGGAAATTAAAATTTCAGGAAAGGTAAGACTTTCCTGCCTCTGATAAATTTCAGATAAGGATTCTTCACAACAATAAGTTTTGAGGTTTTCTGTTTGTCACTAGGAATAGTAACGGCCTGAAGCCATCTTTCTAGCTGGTCAGCACTTGTTTTGGAAAAAACACCACCAAAAAACCCATACTACAAGTTTTTCAGGGGAAGACACAGAGTTTATTTTGTTTCAAAAAAGACTAAACATACTCTGGTTCAATAAAGGGAGAACAGGGTATTTCCAATCCTGTAACTGTAGGATACTGTACAAGACTATAAGCCGTTACAAGTACCCAGGTATTCCTGAAAAAAAATAAATATCAAGGAAAGAAGAACAAATTTAGTTTGCCTTGTTAGGCCCACCCATGTTGTCAAACATGCTATGAGTGATGTCAAGTGAACACTGTTCACTTACAACTGTCTGAGCCATGACACCTCAGGGTAGACTTCCCCCCAGAAAAAAACCTAAAGAACTTCCCTTGGGAACCAAGTCAAACGCTTTTCTTTGACAGCTGCTAAAAGGCACAACTGCGATCTAACTGGATGGGATTAGACGACTTGGGAGCAACAGGAGGACTGGCTTTTCAGCCAGTTTCCCCTGAGTGTGCTGAAATGCTGATCACGCGAGAGAGTTACCTGTATGAGATGCCCCCATGTCCTCTGTGACTGGAATAAAACATAGAAAAACGAGGAATCTATTAGCGTCAGAAGAGTCTCTGCATCTCCCTACAAAACTTCAGGGGGACTGAGAGACTGGTGGCACGCAAACGTGCCGAAACCCAAACCCTGAAGTAGTTGCTTTGCGCTGGAGCTGTTCCCAAAGTGGCACCGGGGGCTGTCACCCAGTCAGTCACCCCGGGCGGCTGTCTGTCTGTCAGTCACTCCTGGCGGCTGTCTGTCTGTCAGTCAGTCACCCCGGGCGCCTGTCTGCCTGTCAGTCTGTCATCCCTGGGGGCGAGCCCCGCTGCAGCTCTCCGGCGCCTCCAAGCACCCAGCCTCCGGGAACCACCCTGCTCGCCCTGAGGGAGACCCCCGGCCCTTCGCGGGGGCAGCCCCCGAGGCCCCCTCCTCGAGTGAGGAGGAGGAGGAGGAGGAGGAGGAAGAGGAGGGAGAGGGACCCCGCTGCCCGGCCCGGGCCCGGCCCGGCCCGCCTCGCCGCCGGGGCAGCCTACCTCGGTGCGGCGGTAGAGCGTGGCCTCGCCGAAGGCGCCGCGGCCCAGGGTGCGGATGGGGATGTAGTGCAGCTCCTCCTGCTCGCCGGGCAGGCCGCCGCCGCCGCGGGGGCCGCCCCTGCCCGAGGACTCGCTGCCGAAGTCGGAGCTGATGGAGTCGCAGTGCCGCTCGTACTCGCCCAGCGACATGGCGGCGGCGCGGCCCCGCTGCGGCCCGGCGCTCCCTCAGCGAGGCCCCGCCAGCCCGACGGGCTCCATGTTGGCTCCCGCCGACGACCCGGAACCGTTTCCCGCCGCCGCCGCCGCGACCTCCGCGCTCCCGCCTCCCGCCGCGGCCCCGCCCGCCGCCCCGGCCCCCCAAAACGGCTTCGGAAGGTGCCGGGAGCGGGGGGAGCAGGACCCCTTCCCGCAGCAGGCCCGGGGACGCGCCGAGTTCAGCACAGGCTGCCGAGGCCGCCTTCCAGCAGCCCGCTGCCTCCCTCATGAAACCTGCGTAAGCAGAAGTTGCCTCAGCTCTTGACAGAGAAATTCTTTTACTTCCCAAGAAGTCCCGAGGTCAAGGTTATTTTCCTAAGAAGCTTTCAGATTATATTTTGGTAATAGCTACCTGAAATAACTGATTTTTATATCTATTAAAAGTCAATACTGTTTCTTACCGCACAGATGTTAACTTTTCTTTTAGCCTAACCGTACTATATATACATTATTGAAAAATAATTGCTACAAGGGAGAACACACCAGTAAACACCACAACTGTATGTCAAGCTCAAAGATCTGCTGGAAAGATGAGAGCACCTGCGATGGGTACACATTTCACACCATTAATAAAAACAGCACTGTCCCTTACAGTGCCACTCATGATCCATGGCTTTTCTCTCTGACCAAGGTGAAATAAACTGAAAGCTTCGTAAACAATATTTTAGATCTGAAGCTGCAATAACTTCTCTGTCATAAAGAAGTATTAGCAACCTTAATCTTAGGTTAGTGATTTATTTTCTTCATAGATAATGCACACCATCATCATTTTGATATTGTTTCCAAATTCAGCAGTCGCATCCACAGATGGGAAAGTGGAGTTGAATGATGGGGATCCTTCACTTCAGGACAGCTGATGCTACACTTACAGGAGACATCAGGAACTGAAGTACAAATCCCTAAAACCAGGTAAGACAAAGCCTGAGTAGCTCTTATTCCATTACCTAGGGGAGATGCTTTATTGCTCAGAACATGAAACTACAAGTGGAGTTCCTTGCCATGAGGTGAGGTTCAAAGAGCTCCTCAGCATTATATGCATCTATTTTAAAAGTAACTTATCCATCAAAGTTTATTTGCTGTGCATCATGACTATTTCCATACAAAGGTGTTGTCTTTCCAAGCAGCAAAAATAGCATGTCAGTTTTAGAACAAAGGAGCTTGCAGGAATGCATGAAAAAGCTCAGACATGTTCTGCTAAGGATTGTTCACTCCCTCCACTGCAAGGGGAGTATCTGGCAAAATATCATCTGGCAAATAATAGTAATAATAATAATAAAAAAAATCTAGATGGCAAAATCTCACAGAAATGGGATGAAGGAATCTAGAACAGTTGTAGAAAACCAGAAGACCAACTGAAAGTCAATCTTAATTTTTCTGATTGGAAAAGTAGAGTTAGCTTGCCCATTGTTATCTACAGTATCACATAAATTTGTCCATGAAATGATCACAGTAGTAGCTACAATCAAGTTTAGCAACTGCACAGCATTACATTTGGTGTGCTTTAAAAAGCGGGGAAGCAATTCTCACAGCAAGATGTCCCTAAGGGAAGTTAATAGCCACTGTGCACTCAGGTTTATCAGAATATGACTGAAGGATATACACCAAACTCTGCATTTTTTTTACTCAAGCATTTAAAGAAATCACACCACCTAGAGGCAATGTGCCATTCTGCCTCTTGCAAAATCATTACTGAAAGATTAATTTGGGTAAGGGTAGGAATACTGTCATTTAAAACAAAACATAGCAAATACCTGCCTTAGTTCAAAGATCTCATTCATGGTTTTCAGAGTCAAGACGTTATATTGATTATGCTACTAACACAAGGAAAGAGCAGTCCACACTGGGAAGGAAGAAATTACAAGGCATCTATATGGTTAATTGTATTGAAAAAGGTAATGGCATAAGATTTCAGTTACATATATATGGCAAACACCTTACACCTAGGGGAAGGGATAAATAAAAGACCGAGCAGCTGGTATGGGTGAGAAAACCCTAGAGTATAAAGCTCTGCAGCAGATCAGACCAGAACTACAATGGGATATAGCTGGAAAAGACAAGCACACCCTCGCCTCTGCCTGCCTCAGCTGTGTGGCAGCTGTAGGAACAGCATCCCTCATATAACCAAGAAAAAACAAGTTCATCTCATTTACAATTCCAGCAGAACCACCTGGTACAGCTTATGCAAAGATCACAGAATGCAACCAGTTTAAAAGCTCAGGGAAAAGGTACCTCAGGAATATCAGCTATGAAAGGAAATTAAGTGACAGGAAACCACTGAAGTCAGACAGAGCAATGTGAGCATGGTTCTGTCATTGCCTTTTTTGAGTAACATACCTCCAAATGAAGTTCTTTAACATGCACGTTTTATTGCAAACACTGAAATACAGTAAGTCAGATGGGTCCTTCAAGACAGAGCAACTTTCTCCAAACATGAGCTAAACAAATGATTTTCATAGCATAGATGACTAGGACGGACACCTGAAGACCGCAGGTCCTCTGGCAGGCTGTGTCAGCAAGCTGCAGATGCAGAAGCTAATGCACCGAATTTAAGATGACAAACCACATGGACCTCTGGCAACAGAAAGAACAATCAGGTATCTGTTACTGCCATTTTGCAGAAAGCTTAAGTCACTTCAGCTGCAGCTGAAATGGAGCAATTCCCAACTCCTGCCGGTGCAACGGACTTCCAGTACAAAGCAAAACAGTCTTCCTACAAACACTGCAGAGCAAAATACAAGCATTCTAGCACTGCAGCAAAAGCTTGAGCTCACCTGTTTCAGGTTTACAAAAAGGTCCAAGAAATGCCAACAGGCAGTTTTTCTAAATCCTCTGCTCCTTCCACCTTCCTCAGAGAAAAGCAGGCCTGCCAGGGACGCAACACCACCACCAGTGGTGATTTGGGGGAGGAACAACACAACAGGCACAAGCCGGGCAAATTTTTCAGGTGGAGAAGGGGCAGGTGACAAAACTACCAACCCTGAACTCCTGCAGCCTTCACCAGACCCCACTTCTTTTCTCGCGTGAAAGATTTATCCATTTCGGGTTTGTGCTCTCTCCTTCCCAGCAAGCCACCTTGAACATATGGGAAGCTCATTTCCAGAGACTTTGTCCATCTCAGGCATTTGAAAGACAATTACAGTGGAGGGACACAACTAAAAATATCAAAGACACATAAATACATCACGTGAACTGGCAGAGGTGAAGAGAGGCCATGCTACTTTCCCAAACCTCTGCCATAGGACCCCATGAAATGCACAGGCAGGAATCCCCCTAATGATCTCAGCAAGCAGTTGCCTAACTAGTTTGAGTAGGAATCCCTGATCTGCCAGTTAGGAGACAACACAGGTGTTGTACACTTGGGTTATTTCTCACATACCTGAGCAGCTTGTAAGAAATGAGCAACAGAGTGTGTAAAATGCCCATCCCCTTATGCGTGCACACACACAGCAGCTGCAGCAAGCACTTTGTACAGGGTGCAGCCTACGTTGGCATAGCAGGAGGGGGAATACACGAAGATATACCTTACTTAGGAATGCTCACGCGCTGTGTTAAGTAGTGTGATAATTAAATCGTTAGTCACATCGACAAGTGGGTGGAAGAGGCTGAAAATGTCTGATGCAGTTTGCTACAGGCAATTATAGATTTAGCAGCCATGCATCTGTCACACACAAAGATGGGCTCAGACCCAAGTATCTGCAACAACTCAACTTTAGCCCATTTCCCAGAAGTAAAATGGAATGAAGACACCAACTCTGCATCCGCAGTACTCTGAAACAGCCCAGACCCACCGCCAACCTACCGCATGAGAACAGCTGTACGATTTCACATACTCAAATATTCATCCAGGCAGGGACTTGCAGAGGCTAATCCTTATCCAAAGATCTGGGAATTTCCCTTCTTGAAATTCTCCCTGATAATACTAACTAGTTACATAGCACTTGGGTGTCCCCAGTCCTGTTACATGGCGTATCTCACTTGGCTACTGCGTGACAAAAGGCTTGCAGGCTCAGAGGAGATCTGCCACCAGCTGAGTCAAATGAACCTAATGACTCCCTTCAGTAAGCATCTGCCACTCATACAGGACCGGCTCATCTTTGCAACAGTTTAAAATCTCGTCTAAAGCACAAAACTAAAAGTACTTTCATTTGTCATAATGACCGACTTTTTACATGGAAGCCGACAGTGAAAAACTGGATCTTGTACTCTAGAGCACCAGCCCTGTTTCACTATCAGCCTCAAAATCCCTCTACATAAAGAGATATAATTAGGAAGGGGGGGGAAGAAAACTAACAAATGGTAACCGATATTAGAGACTCCTCTCTTGCTGTGCTGGTCCCACTTTGCAGAGAAGCCTGTGCAAGCCAGTACCTTTCCCCGAGTCTAGAATTCTCCAATTCTTTAGAAATTAACTGTTGCTAGAGAAACCCAAAGGCTTGCGAGGGTTCTGTGTACTTGCTGCTTCCTGCGACAGGTCAGCTTGTAAGAAAAGGCTGTTGGTAGGAAGGTGCACAAAGAGGACGAGATTCACACAGACAACTGAGGTGGGTTGTTTTTCCCCAAAGAAATTTTATTTGAGAAAGTTGACAAAAATCCCCCAACCAGTCATTACAGGTAAATCCATCGCAGTCCCCCATACCTGCTCCCCAGTAATCATACCAGTACAGTGAAGATCAAAACGCAACACCAGAATGATAATAGTGTAACAGTCACCTGGGGAACTTAAGGCCTCGCCACCATTTTTAAGATAAAGACATCTTTGTACTCAGGTAAGGACGGGGAGAGGATATCAAAACAGACAAGACTGGAAAAGCCCCTTTCTTGTACTGTCTTTTCAAGTTATATAAAAACAAAAGCAAAACCTTAACAGATCTACAGTCTTCAAACTGTAGGACCTAAAACTACCTTCAAATGACTTCTGTAATTCAGTCCTGTGGCATCACTGCTGTTCTGCACTGTAACAGCTTTCAAAAACGTACAAGGATAAAACAGATGCAAGAGCAGAGGAGTGGATTTGGGCTTTTAATATGGCTTTATCAAAAAATAAACAAA